TTCTGATAACTTGCGCGATGTATAAGCGCAGGGCTGTAGCTCACCCTTAAGATTTCGTTGTAACAATACAGCCCCCACCGCCACATCACTTGCATCTGCCTGGACAATATACTGTTTCTCGGGATCGGGATGTAGTAAAATGGGCTCTTTGGCAAACAACGCCTTTAAATGTTCAAATGCAGCTTGACTTTCCTTAGACCACGCTAATGGTTGACCAGGCCGTACCCTTGTCGGGGAGTTCCGTGTTTTCAACAACTCTGTGAGTGGCAAAGCCACGCGGGCAAAATGAGGAACAAACTGCCTGTAGAAATTCGCGAATCCTAAAAAGCTCTGCAACTGGCGTCTCGTCCGAGGCGCCTGCCACCCAAGTACTGCTTTTACCTTTCCTGGATCCATTTCTATTCCCGCAGCAGATATCTTATACCCCAAATATTCGATACAGGTTTTATGGAACTCGCATTTCGAGAGCTTCACGAACAGCTGAGCCTGGAGGAGTTTGCGTAACACCTCTCTAACCAATTGTATATGTTCCGCCATGGTTTTAGAATAAATCAAAATATCGTCTAAATAGACTAATACCCCTCTATATAAATGTTGATGCAACACCGCATTAATGGTCTGCATAAATACCGCCGGCGCTCCTTTGAGCCCAAACGGCATGACGGTAAACTGGAAACTCCCTAAAGGGCAGTTAAATGCGGTCTTCCACTCATCCCCTGGTTTTATTCGAATGCGATAATATGCCTCCCTTAAATCCAGCTTAGTAAACACCCTCCCTTGGGATAAATGAGACAGCATGTCCTTCAGCAGGGGTAATGGATACATGTTTTCTGTGCTTACCGCATTCAACCCCCTAAAATCCACGCAAAGCCGTAATCCTCCGTCCTTTTTCCCTTGAAATAACACCGGAGCCGCAATCCGTGATCGGGCCGGCTGTATAAACCCCCGCTCTAAATTTTTATCGATATATTTTCGTAGCTCCTCTAACTCCTTAGGGGACATGGGGTACATCCGAGGCTTTGGCATTTTTGCCCCGGGTATGATATCTATAGCGCAGTCGGTAGGACGATGGGGCGGCAACGCATCACACTCTCGCTCGCTAAACACGTCCTGTAAATCCTCATATTCCACAGGAAATAACCGGGTACCTCCACCTGTGTCCACCGCTACTCTGATTCTTTCCTCCAGCCGTGGACTACCTTGTGGGGATTGTACCTGCGGTTCCTCACCCTCACTGCCTGGGGGTCGAGGGCCTACTGCTAACCTTATACGGCGACATCCCCCTGCCCACCAGATAACTGGTTGCCATCTGTCAAGCCATGCCAACCCCAAGATCACGTCCTCGGTCATTGAGGGGATGACTATAAAACGCAGCAATTCCCAGTGTTCCTGCATCTCTAAGCGCACCAGTTCCGTTACATAGGATGCCGGTGCCCCACCTAGTAAGGACCCATCCACTTGTTCAAAATTGATGGGTCGAGATAATTTAACCAATCGAAGTCCCAACGCATCCGCCACTTTTCTATTGATCAAACACCGGGTACACCCTGAATCTATTAATGCTTGACATTCTATGCGTTGTTTGGACTTACAATCCCCTAGGCGGATTGGCACGGTGAATGGAACCACCGGATTACTTACCATGGGATCTTGTTCCGGATCCTCCTGGTCACACCTCTCGGGAACTACCTCCGGGGTGGCAACCGCCACTACAGGTATAGCCTTATAAGGGGTGCTGCCTTCATCCTGCAAAGCCCTCAATTGATCTTTTCCTCGGAACGGGGTAACCTCCTGCCTTCTCATTCCTAAAGCTGTCTGTCCCGGAGTTGAACCTCGTCCAGGTGTAGTTGGGCACTGGGCTGCCCGATGACCCGGTTTATTGCACCTAAAACAACGAAACGTCCCTCTTGGTGCCCCGGGCGGAACTGGTTGAACTGGAACTCCCGACAGTCCTGGTTTGTTGGTTGTTTGCTGAGGCGGCGCCGGAGGAGAGACGGCTGTTACCGGTCTGATTTCCTGTAACCCTGCATAGAGTTCGGTCACTGTCCTGTACCAATCAGACAACCGAGATGGCACACCTCTCATCAGGCAAGCCTGTTGGAGTTCCACATCGAGTCCATGCCTGAAATGATGTACCAACAGCTTCTCAGGCCAAGATCGTAGTCAGCCTGCTACCCTCTGGAAGTCCTTAATAAACTCTCTCACCGGCCTACCTGCCTGCCTCAGTGTCACTATTTCCGTCTCCGCTCTCTGCGTCCTGGTGGAATCCTCGAATCGCAATCTCAGAGCCTCCAGGAAGGCACCTATGTCGGCCAACTCACTGGCGTGCTCTCCGAAGAGGTCAGCCGCCCATGCAGCCGCCTCACCTTGCAAGCTAGCGGTCACCGCTACCACCATAGCCCATTGGGAGGAGTAATATCCTGCGAAACGGTCCAAATGATTCAGCACATGCCCTAAAAACATGGCCAATTTGTCCGGATCCCCATCAAAAAGAATCCCGATTGCTGGAGGGGTCCATGGTATACCCGTGGGCCAGGCTACAGCCTGCTGGCCACCATGCTGAGGGCCCATGCCAGTAGAATGCCGGCCAAGGTCCCCGGGTCCCAAGGGTAGGGACACAGGGGTGGTAGCTATGGGTCCCATTCGCGCACCTCCATGTCCTCCTTGTTGCAACGGCACCGTTGACCCCCGCAACTGTGGGCTACCCAGACGGAATCCGGATGACTCCTCAGGGCGATGAGCGGCCACCCCCTGTCTGGGAAGGAACCCTGGCTCCCCAAACCTAGCCTTTAATACATCGAGGGTATACTGCCCTGGAGTGGTAGAGTAACTCCAGTCAGCTCCATCGTCGCCGACCACTCTCCTCTCCCTCCAGCCCATCGCAGAGCCCCCGTTATCCTGTATGGACCGACGCTCGGTGTCTTTTCGTTGGGACGTGGAACTCAGTCCCCAGCCAGCCGCCTCTGGTAATACCGGCCTCTGCTTAACCCCAGGGTCCACATCCCCCAGCAGCGAAACACTTTTCTCCTTCGGACGAACAACTGGTCCTTCCGTGGCTGCCCCTGGATCCACTGACGTGCCAGGGTCCTCCGACTGCTCAAGGACTTCCTCCAACACCCCAATCTCCTGGACACCTTCGGCCATGTTGCCTGTAGTCCGCTCCACGGTAAAGCCAATAAAGGAGCCTAAGATGAGTGCTGACTTACTGTTAGCCCCGTCTTTGACACACGTAACCAAAAAAATGAGGCACTTCGTCAGGAACGGAGAACATCCAGTTTATTTCACAAACGTAAACGGAATAAAGTCAGCACTGACTAGCTGTTAACCCTAAGTGTTTTTATACATAAGCTGGAACCCTTCCTAGCCCACACCCCTGTCACCGCCCATACACCGCCACCCACCTACGGACCGCCCCACACCTCCAAACTTGCTGCATCATGATGACTGAACGCTTCCCGACGACCCGGCCGCTTCCCGTTGCTTCGAGCTCTTCCCGAAGCTTCTGCCGTCTTCTTTCGACTCTTTGAAGATGTCCCGTGGCCACTATTGAGTACGCATGCGTTGGATTGCCTGTTCTGTCCTTCACGCATGCGCGGCTCTAGAAATCATGATTGCATGCCGGGCCGGCTTCTGCGCATGCGTGGCCGCCGGAACGATGTCGGGCCGACCGGACGTCACACAGAGTGGCGAGTGCCTTGCTGCCGCAGGTAGGTTCAGCAGTTGGTTGCAGCACGGCCCGACAGATGTACTCAATAAAGTTTTACATTAAGAGTTCAGAAAGCCTCAAAAATGTTTACTTGGTTGGGTTCGTCAGTCAGAATCTTGACATTGATGATAAGTCGATTTTTCCAAGGGCGTTGTAACTTTGAAAGGTCACTAAATGGATGGTTGTAAGTCAAGGGCTACCTGCAATCAGAAGCCTGATTTCAGTTACCCCAAACTCTGTCTCTGTCCCTTCCCGTGTGGAGTGGTCAGTCCCAGCAGCATCTCGCTGAATTCCCAGAATATCTCAGCCATCTGGTCATCGCGGGCTTGTGGCCAGGGCACCTTCGGCCGGCAGTCCACGAAATACTGCCCACTCAGCCTCTCGATGCCCTCCTCGGTGGCACAGAAGATGGTGGTCTGGGCGCCTGTTTTCCAGTCTTGGAGGAATGGCTTGATGGGCCAAATCAGCCAAATTACCCAACGGGGGTGGGAGTGAGCCATTTCGGTTTGAACAAATCCTAAAAACAAAGGCTGTGAGACCAGGGCGGGGATGGAAGGTTGTCTGGATTTTTTGGCAGGGCGGAGGTCCCATATGAACTCTTCGCTCAGCACCTGTTTCCCCAAGGGATCACGGGCGATTTGGGCAACGCAGATTTTTCAGAAGCGCAAGAGGTGATGTTGAGTGACAACGGGATGTGTTTGTATTTGCGTGTGCACGTGTGCTGCTTTGCACACACAAATCCATTGCAGTCGGGTGGCTAATACATTCAAATAAACAACATTAAATAATAATGTTTTGATAGAATATTTGTAGCTCAGGGATGAAGTGTGGGGTCTTTAGTCCACTCTGAGTTTGGCTGTTTTCTTGTAGGTTAGTTTCATTACCCAACTAGGTTACATCATGTGGCATTTATGGAGAGGAGGAGGAGGAAAGAAGGAGGAGGAGGAGCAAAGGGAAGAGGAAGGATGGGAGGAACAGAAAAGGCAGAGGGAGGAGGACAAAGAGGAGCAATAGACTGGAGAAAGCCTCATCCCTGTCTTAGGCAGGAGGTTAGACTAGAAGACCTCCAAGGGTCCTTCCTACTCTAAGATTCTTGGATTCTATTAGCTCCTGGACCCAGGAGGGTGAGAGACGTCTCCCTCCACAGCTGAGCCCAATGGAGGAAACTCTCGGGGTGGCTCTGCAGAGGGGGTCAAGGGAGCCCCCAGTGGGAGAGAAATGCCCGGTGGAGCCCCAGACAGACCTGGGGCAGGTGTCTCCATATGGGGCTTTTTGGAGCCGGCCTTCCACTCACCTGGATCAACCGCGTAGCAGGTGACGTTGGTTCCTTCCAGCTTGTTGGCCAACTCTCGCGCATGGAGAATGTTGGCTAGTTTGCTGTTGCAGTATGATTTAGTGGCCTGCCATATCCCCTCCGCCGGCTTGTAGATTTTCCGAACGTCGATCTTCCCAAAGGAATGCATACTCGAGGCCAAGATTATGACCCGGCTCGGGGCACAGTGCTTCAGCCGGTCCAGGAGCAGGTGGGTCAGCAAGAAGTGGCCCAAGTGGTTGACTTGGAAGGCCAGGTCAAAGCCATCAGCTGTTTGGCCAGCCTTAAAGACCCCTGCCAGAAAAAATAATTACAGGTAGTCTTCACCTTACAAGGGGTAACTTTGTGATCATTCAAGGTTACGATGGACGTAATTACCAAATGGCAATTACGAGCCGGTTCCAAAGCTCCAGTGGCTCCCCCTTGTGGCCACATGATCACATTCTGGGTACTTGGCAACCAGGCTGCCCTTGGCAACGTGTCAAGTGATTGTGATTTATGACATGTCAAAAAGGCATTTATTTGCATTTTTCAGCAAAAACCCCTGATAGGTTACAATTGGTTCGCTTAACAACTGCCTCAGAAAAGGTTGTAAAATCATGTTGATCACAGGGGTGACCTGCTTTACAACCATCACAACTTACAACCATAATTGGCAGGCTCCATTATGGTCATAAGTCGAGGACTGCATGTAAAGTATCCAGTTTGGTTAAGGCAACCAAAGTGGTTGCCTTAACCTAGTGGTTAAGGCAACAGGCTATGAAAGTCAGTTAAGTCTGTTTGGTCTACTGTTTAAGCCTAGAAAATGTAAGGCCATGAGTTCAAATCCCGCCTTAGCCATGAAAGCCGGCTGGGTGACTTTGGGCCAATCACCAGGAGATGGTAAGTTCTAGTCCGGATTTAGACATCAAAGACAGCTGGATGACTTTGGGCCAGTCATTCTCTCTCAGCCCAACCCACCTCACAGGGTTATTGTTTTGAGGAAAATAGGAGGAGGAAGGTGTCTTTGATCTGTTCGCCCCTTTGAGTTACTTGTAAAAATAATAATAAAGGCGGGATACCAAAAATGAGGAACTACAAAGAGGAGACAGCTGCTTCTGAAGTTATGGCCAAACCCCCGAAGGAAGAGAAATCCTGGAGACCCCCCCACAATATTCCCACTTCCTCGCCCTGATACCCCAGGGGGGCTCTGCTCTGCACCCACCGGCATTGTTGATGAGGATGTCCAGACGGGGCTCCGATTTTAGGAAGTTTTGTGCAAAAGCTCGCACGGAGTTGAGGTTGGCCAGATCCAGGATCATCAGGATCACTTCCGAGTTCCCACTTTCCTGGAAAAGGAGCAGAAGAAATCCTGAGAAGAATCGGGATTGGGTGTGGCTTCAAAGGCTGATCCCGGTTTACTCACATATGTCTGCTCACCTCCTGACAATCAGTCTGTGTCAGACATGTCAAACACAAGGCCTGCAGGCTGAATCCGGAGCATTATGGGCCCAGATTTGGACGAGCCTCCCGCCCTCCACCCCACCCACGGCAGCTTCAGCTAACAGGAAGAGCAGGGAGCCCCCATGCCCGAGACATAGCAGGAACTGTGCAGCCCGTGCAGCACAGGTGGGTCCGAGTGCTACAACCTTCGGGCTGGCCCTCCAAGTAGCAGATGGAGACAGAGGGATGGGGGGAGGCACACAATCCAGCCTATTAGATGCGCCAGATGATTGCAAGGCCACCTGCTGTATTCCAGTTGTGGCAGCAACGGGCAAGCAAATGGTGGGACCACAGTGAGGCAGCCCGGCCAGTTGCCATTGCCACCATGCCATGCCCCCTGCATGCTCAGCCCCCACCATCCAACATCTTCCAGTGAGCACCACGGAGCTCAAGGGCCAGGTTGGGTACCCACCACCCAGGGTCCCGGTCAGCCCGCACTGCTGTCCAAGGAGGAGAGAACTGAATGGCAAGTGCTTACCCGTCTGATGTCACACACAGCTGATTCTCCTCTTGCTTTGTCGCGGCATGCCAGAATGACACGGGCGCCTCTCCGGGCCAGATCCACTGCTGTGGCCTTCCCGATCCCTGTATTTGCACCTAGGAAAGGCCAGAGAAAGGATTCACTAAGATCACCCAGCCTTTGATGGTGTTGCATGGTGAAGCATTTGTTTGGCAGTGTTTCTCAACCTTGACAACTTTAAGATGGACTTCAAGTCCCAGAGTTAAAGTTATTGTATAACATTAATTAAATAACAGGAAAGGGAAAACTAAAAAAATTGGACAACAGGAAAAGCAAAACTAAACCTGAATTACGGGAAAGAACCTATTGTTCTAAGTAACCATAATATACCCCAGAACTTGAAAACAAGCTAACAGACCATGCTCAACAGACTATTGAATATTAGTTGACACACCTTGCATATATAATTTGCTAATTATAACGCACAAGCAATGTATGACTTAGTATATTCAAGGAGGGTAACAGGAAATATGTAGAAGGTGGTCAGAGAGAATGTAACCTCATAGTACCTCAGCCAATGGGGAATAAGGAGGGATAGGCAGCCAGTGCAAGTAATGTATAAAGATGTTGATTTGAGATGATAAACTTTGGAGAAAACCAAGCTTTGATAGCTTTTCTCCCTGTTTATTGCAATAAATGAAACAAGGAATCTTGTTTCTGTGTCTTGGCTGGTTATTGGTCAGGCGAGCTTGCCACTGGTTGTGAAGGAAAATAGCCAGGAGCACATAACAGCTTGGGGGATCGTCCGGGATTTGAATTCGTTCCACCATTGGTGGCAGGGGATATTTGATGGGGATATCCAGCCCTAATGATCACCCCTGTTGGAACAAAGGGGAATTAGGGACCCATGACGGAAAGCCAGGACCTAGTGACAACCTAAGAGAAAGTTGACTGACTCAAAGGAGGACTTTGACTCCACCTGACAGGTAAGATACAAGAGGAGTATCTAGATACCAGAGTAGTATCAGTGGGCAATAAGAGTTCAAAGAGGAGGAATGCCTCCTCAGCCAGCCAGTAAGGCATTTGAACAGAAGAAGGATGATACATTATAGTACATACATCTGGCCAAAGTATAAATTTAGAGGCTTTATATGGCCTCCTTTTGGTACCAATAATTTGGCTATACGCTTCTGGTTTTGTGCAGAGTGCAAGCAGCTGAGGGATCGTGGGGTTCCACATCCTACGGTTGATTCTTCTCTGTTTGGGGACCCTAAATGGCCCAAAAGTTGCCCTGAAGAGGTGGCAAAGAAGGAAGGAAGCCCCACTGACCGTGGAGAGATGGCGGTCGATCCGGTCGGTTGGGGAAAGCTGCCTAGAAACCAACAGAAGAAAGGCTAGTGTCACTCCAGAGTCTACCCAAGCTACAAGCAGCCAAAGCCAAAAAGCATTAAGTCAAGCTTGATCATAAACAACATGTCTGGAACTGGGTAAGAATACTGATTCTCTGTCTTTTAATTGATCTCCTAAAAAAAAAAAACCCTCAAGAAGCAAAAATCCTCCGAAAGTGAGAGGAGGATTTTTGCTCCAGCCTCTCACAAACGGAAGTAGCGAATTAAATTTTTATGGGGGACAGAAACATACTGAAATGAAATGAATATGACTTAAATCTGGATAAGTGTGAATTTGGTGGAATTAATTAAGATTTTCTTGGCAAACGATTATTGATGAAAAGAGAAAACAATTGCCTGTTTTGAAAATTGAAAAATGAAGTGGTGCTGATACCTACTGGTGGATAAAAATACATAATTATGGCTGAACTGGTAAGCCCAGGAAAAGATAACTTGTCATTGTGACCTTCAACGTTTTAACTAAACAAAGAACAGCTATAATAAAGAAAAGAAAATATTTTGGGCTATCTATAAAGCGAGAACTATAAAACTTAGGAAAAAAAATTGACCTTCCTGGATTATAAATACTTATTGAACTGTGACTTTAAAGCTATTTAGAAAGGAAAACTTTGATTTTTGGCTATCATGGAACATCAGAGGTCTGCAGAAAAAACATATCAAGAAAAAACAAATATTTTCCAGGAGAAAATGTATGCTAATGTATTACAACTAATACAAATGACAATGACTTCAAACCACGAGGAAATTAAAAATAACTTTGAAAATTTGAATGAACATATCCTCAATTTAACTGCACAACAAACAAACTCTCAAAAAACAAAAAAAAGAGAGCAATTAAGTAAAGGGGATAACTGAGCATAAACTAGAGGAAAGAGATTCAAAGATAAAATTTAATAATGGAAGGAACTATGATTTAACCCAGGTGGAGAAAAACTTGCAGGAAATATTGGACATGGAAAAGACAACTTACACTTCAAAATTGCAAAATACATCTAAGAACAAGAAAAAAGATTTCAAAATGGATCATAGAGCTGTCAAGAGAACTACGAGAACTTGAGAAACAAAAAATGATAAGAGAAACTAAGAGAGAAAGAAAGAAAAATATTTTCAAGGAATATGATGGGGCGAAGCATTCCCACAAAAACACCTTACGACTCATCTCTTATACCTACAATAATATCTACAAAACTATGGGAAGACCTTTTGGTCCAGCAGAGCATACTGATTAAGAATGATGTTTGGCAAAAAAAATATGCTAAAGTTAGAATTAAGAAATTAGATGATGGAACTTATTAGATGGAATATTTAAAGATTAAGCACTTGTTTGAATATGGTTAGATGTTTGGCAAAAAAGGCTAAAGTTAGAATTAAGAAATTAGATGGGACTTATCAGATGGAATATTTAAAGATTAAGAACTTGTTTGAATATGGCTAAAGAAATAAAAATTTGGATATAAATGAATTTTAGTTTAAGAGGGATAGGCTCCTTAAGCAATATAATATTTTTGTTTATGATTTGAGAAATATAAAAATGTTGGGATGATTTATATGAGGGAAATGTTTTAGATATTTAAGTATAATGGATTTTGAGAACATTTTAATTAATAAGAAGTTTTGAATAGTTTTAAAATATGTGGGCGTGGGTGTTATGCTTTTGACTAATGAAACACTTCAAAGAACTTCCAGGCATTGATTTTCCTAAAAGTCATTTATTGTTACAAAATGTCAGCACAGGCATAATGGAGGTATGCCAAGATCTAAATTCTCCCCCCCCCCTGAGCAATTAAATTATCAGCATGTTCCCTTCCTAAATTAGCAGTCATATATCACGTTATCCAATCAGTGTGAAGGTCAAAGGTTTCCTTCCTCTCTCTTTCCAGGGCTTTCTCCCCACCCTCTTCTGCTCTGCATTAACTCTAAAATACCAGACAGTTCTGCATATTGTCAAAGCAAGAATATACAGTATTTGCAGCATTGACAGTGGGTTTATTAGACGGAATACTTAAAGATTAAATATTGGTTTGAATATGCTTAAAAAGAATAGAAAACAATTTGGACATAAATGTATTTTAGCTTAAGAAGGACATGTTTTTCAAGTAGTCTATTCTTTCTTTCTTCTCTTTTTTGTTTTTGTTTTAAAATATGAGAAATGTAAAAGTGTTGGGATGGCTTGTATGAGGAAAAAGACTTAAATACTTAAGTGTAATTTAACTCTAAGAAAATCTTAACAGGTAAAAAATGTTTTCTGAACATTATAGGGAAAACAAATTTAAATGAGAACTTTAAAAACAGGATCTGTGACAAGGTGATTAAGATGATTAATTAGAAAAGAAGATTCATATTGATGTGGTTGTTATTTGTAGAAATACTAGAAAAATATCTACATTCAATTGTTATCTACTACAGAGCTTTTCAACCAGTGGTACAGATACCACCTGTGGTACATTGGTACATCCTAGAAAAGTAGTGGGGGAGGGGAATGAGCTGAACCAGTGGCAGCACCGCACAAGCCTGAGCGAGAGACGGCTGGAGCTGAAGGGCTGTCAGGGCTCAGCGGAAGCACCAGGATTAGCGCTAGGCTCCAGTTGAGCTCAGCACTTATCCTGGTGCTTCTGCTGAACCCAGAAGAAGCACTGATCAGCTGGAATGTTGCAGCATCTCCAGGGTCTTGTGATTTACATTCAGATGCTTAGCAACTGATTCATATTTATGACGGTCACAGTGTCCCAGGGTCATGTGAAGTGACCAAAACCTGCTGCAACCACCCAGCAGACGGGGGGGAATAAAAACCAAACACCCCCCCCCACCCCACCTCCACTGCCAATCCCCAACAGAAATGCTCACAACAATGAAAACCTCGGACAGGAGGAAGAGCGCAGCCGGGAAGGCAGGCAGGTGTCTTGCTCGGCTGTGGCTTGGGGGGCACTTTTTTCAGTGCCATTGTAACTTTGAACAGTCACTAAGTGAACTGTTGTAAGTTGAGAACTACCTGTACTTCATCACTTTTTTCCCTTTTTTTGTCATCAAGTTTTTGACACCTTGCTAGGCGACTGGTGGTCCTCGGATGTTGCCATATCCTAAAAGTGGCACAATGGGTGAAAAGGTTGAAAAGCCCTGCTTTAGACAACTGCCTATGGGAGAAGGCAATGTGGGCTACGTGGAAGAACCCCCCCCCCAACAGCTTTTGGAATCAGGCAGTTTAAGAAATTGAGAGAGGAAAAAAAAGCACCTCCACTGAAGATGTTACCTAGGCTGGTAACAAAACATTCAGAAACACAAGGTCAGAGAATGTACCTTCAGCCTCAATTTAAGAAAGAATTGCCCAAACTAATAGAAGATCCTATTGAAGCTGGAAAGCAAGTGGGGATGTTTTTAGGACCAATGGAATTTTCCTGGAGAGAAATGCAATATATTTTTAACACGTTGTTTGCACCAGAGGCGAACAGGATGATTAGGTGAGCAACTAAGGAACAGGGTAAGAAAACGTTTCCACAAAAGAATGAACAGGCTGAGATCCCTGTTGCAGATCCAAAGTGGGATTGGATTAGTATATAAGAATAGAGTAGAGTAGAGTAGAGTAGAGTAGAGTAGAGTAGAATAGAATAGAATAGAATAGAATAGAATAGAATAGAATAGAATAGAATAGAATAGAATAGAATAGAATAGGAATCTGGAAGGGACTTTGGAGGTCTTCTAGTCCAGCCCCCTCCTCAAGCAGGAGAACCTATACCATCTCAGACAAGTGACTGTCTAGCTATGGTATTCTTACGCTGCCAGGTTTGATGGCGCAGGAGAGGGAGAGGCAATCGTTTGGGCCCTATCGACAAAATGAAATTTAATGTGGAGAGAAGCAAGGTTTTACACCTAGGTGGGGAAAAGCAAAGATACAAATACAAATTAGACAAAACCCGGCTCAAACACAGCCCCTGTGAGAGGGACCTGGGGGTCCTGGTGGACGATCCCTTGACCGTGAGCCAGCCGTGAGCAGCAGCAGCCAAAAAAGCTAACACAATCCTGGGTTGTATAAACAGAGGCACAGAATCAAGATCACGTGAAGTATGAGTACCGCTTTACAAAGCTTTAGAATTAGAATAATAGAGTTTTAAGGGACTTTCTAGGTCATCTAGTCCAACCTCACCTTGATTTTCTTTCGTACAAGAAGGATCACAATGGGCGACTTTGGGCAGATAACCAGGAGACGGTGAGTTCTAGTCCTGCCTTAGGCATGAAAGCCAACTGGGTGACTTTGGGCTAATCACCAGGAGATGGTGAGTTCTAGTCCTGCCTTAGGCATCAAAGCCAGCTGGCAGAACTAGAACTCAACGCCGATTTATAACACGAAATAAAGTATTCACAGAAACAGAATTGGATGAACTGCAAAGGTTTACCCAGGGCAAAGAAATCAAAGCCTTACCAGAAGTAATTCAGAATGTAGAGGCAAACCAGGGGGAGTTGGCAGTGAAGGAATCCAAGCAGAGATATACAACTGTTCTCATTTGGAAACCAGGCACCTCTTCCTCAGGAAGAACAAAACCCTCTAACTAAAGAAATAAAAGAATTGAAACAAAGAATAACTGAGCATCTAGAACAGCACAAAAACAACAGAATAAGGCTGCCTACATTGAAGCTTGTTCCAAAGAAACAGCTAGCACAAGCATTAAAAGATGCAAATACTGCAATATCAAGTATAAGCACCAATTCACTGCAAGAAACAAACCAACTAATGTACAGCACAGCTGCAGTTATAACAGAATACCTGGGATGCAAAATCAACAAAAAAGAAAAACAAACAAACAGTGCACCAAAAAATGGAAGGTTAGACTAGAAAATAAGATCAGCAAGTTAAGATCACATGCAAGCAAGCTAGAACAGATGAAAGAAAAGAAGCTGAAGAACAAGAAGACCAAAGAATACCTAATCAAGAAATACCACTTAGAAACAAGGAAGATCAAGGAAGCACTGGAAATAATAATGCAACAAATAACAGCTATAGCCAGGAAAATCAGTAGATATGAAGCTCGAATTGCAAACTATAGGCAGAATCTCCAATTTCAATCCAATCAGAAACGATTCTACCAATCCATCAATGGAGAAACTGCAAGGAATCAGTCAGTACCTGACAAGGAAGAAACAGTGCAGTTCTGGAAGCAGATATGGGATAACCCAAAGAAATACAACAAGGATGCGGCTTGGTTAAAAGAGGTGGATGCAAATAAAACAGAAGTTGAAATGAAAGAACTAGTAATAACAACAAAAATGGTAGAAAAAAGAGCAAAGAAAATCAAAAATTGGTCAGCACCAGGGGAAGATGAACTGCATGGGTTTTGGTTGAAACATCTAACTGTTATACACCCACTCATTGCCAAGCAGTTCAACAATATACTACAAGGAGGAG